TTTCCCTATGCTTCCTGGATTTCTGCTCTCCCACTTTCTTTCTTTACTTTCATGCTTGTTTTTCTATCAAGCTTATTGACTTCAGTAATTCAGTGAAGGTACAAAACTAGTTTTACATTTATTATCATGACTGTATTGATGACGTCCATGGATTGTAACATCATGTCGAAACCCAGTTCATCCGAATTTAAGATGGACGTAAGGCCAGCTAGCTGGGCTTTTCTGGGGGAAACAACCTGTTACAATACAGGACAGAGATTGGTTCTATATATTCTCACAAAATCCAATGCAAATGTCCATGGGACACTAGGATACGCTCATTCTCGGTAAATGCGACCTCACTGACATTATCAATACTTTTGTAGGATTCCAAAGCCTATTTCCATCTTCTCAATCAAATCGCTCCAAAAGGACAGAAGGAAGGTGAACCACGGATAGATATTAACATGTCAGGTTTCAACGTGAGTATAAATGGCCTTTGAATTCTATAGCCTTATGAAATTATGGTCAATTTCCTATAAATGGAAGAATTTTTATAATTCCATGTGGTGGTGGTGATGATGTTGAGCATTTTTTTAAAATGGAAGCTACTGTACGTGTACTGCAGAGGCAAAAATATCTCGCTTTGATTGATATTGATGTTACATTTATGAGTTCCATAATGATGATGGTATCCGTTTATATGGATGGCATAAAATAGCAAAGTAAGTGTGGGAAATAAGCACGCGAGACTAAGCTCTTCCTAGTATTCGGATTATATCCTCAGTAATAAACTTAATGACCACAAATTCGCATATACATCTGTAATACTCCTGGGTTGAGAGTCATTGAATGTATTTATAAACTCCTGATCTGTGACATCCTATCTAGAATCACTGTCAGGGCCCATGTTCCCTGGTTAAGTCCCTGATTGATTCTGTGACCTTGGACAAATTCCATCATGCTCGTGAATAAAGTAAGGCGTTAAAATAGACTGTTTAGTCGCAAGTTTTTTGGATCCTGTGGCTTTTTCTAACTCCATATGTGGAATGCATTCTATTAATTAACAAAATCGCAAATCTAGCTTACTATACACTGGGACTGGGTGAATTATATTAGCTAAACCATCTTACGCTGCCCCTGCCAGAACTGGATTTGTAACTGACTCGTATGCCTATATTTCTGTCCATATATTAAACACGAAATTCTTCGGCCAAGATCCCCCTAGAGTAGACAGAGATGAGGGGCCATCCTGGGCATTAAGGAAGCGGTCTGGGTGACTAATCAGGTGATCTTACGCCTGGATAAATGGCACCGGTATGCTAACTGATCCTGATTCGGTAACAGTTTTCTTCATTCAATCCTCCCTGATTTTATTTTATTGTTTTATTTTATTTTTGTCATCAGGGTGCATGCACTTGCCAGAGAGAGAAAATGAGGAATCGAGATAACACCTCCATGGGGCCTGGTCTCGCCAATTCTCATCTCCTCCATTTCTTCCCTTTTTGGGGATTTTGGGGCAGACGTGAACATGTGTCTGGAGTGCTTTTCAAGCTGCAGAGTCTGGGACTCAAACCGCAGCATGTGAGATTCAGTCACCTAACCACCATGCCATCACCTGGCCCACTGATTGAGTGTCTTAAAAACAATCCTTCCTGGGCCAGCTGGTGGAGTGTTGGTTAAGGCATTTGGGTCTCACATGGCCGACGATGCAGCTCGAAAGACTGTGTCCTTTCTAAGTCTGTTGCCCCCAAACTTCCCTTCCCTTCCCTTCCCTTCCCTTCCCTTCCCTTCACCACCAGAACACTCATTTACCCCTGAGGCTTGCTCCTACTTTTTCCATCTTTTTCAGCCTTATGCCTTTGTTAGGGTCTAATTTTTAAACCTGAACATTTTTTGTTTTACTTTATTAGTTAATCTATTTATTTTATATGTTCGATTCTGCTTATTTTTGGGTGCATTTTGGCACGAGAAATGTAATCCCGAGTTAAATGTGCTTGGTAATTAGATGTGTGTCTGGCGCCATCTAGTGTATCTTAAAGGCACTGCACATGCAGCAAAGCCAACCTTTTTCTGGTTTTCCACTCAAAACAGTTTTCTAATAAGTACCATATGTTCACTAAAAGAAAGTAGAATTGTATACCCA